TTATAGTATAAATTGTTTTAAATTATAAAATAAAGATTTTTTAATGAGAAGAATTTTAATATTAAAGAATTTTTTTATCAAAAAATTATTATTTTATTTTATTAAAAAAATTAAATCTTTAATTTGATCCATAAACTATTGTATAAATTTTTAATTTGATTCTTAAATTAAAAAAATCATTAATTTGATTTTTAAACTATTATATGAACCTCTTATTTGGTCTTTCTGTTTATCAATTTACCTCAAATTGATCTTTTCATACAAAAAACAATTGACGTGTTTTGTTATTAACGTGGTATGTAATCGTTAAGTTACTATTTTTCATAGTTAAGTTACATATATGTCAACTTTTTTTTTTAAAAGAACTAACTTGAGGTAAATTAGTAAACAGTAAGGACCAAATTAAGGATTTATACAATAGTTTAAAAACCAAATTAAAAATTTTTTAAGTTTAAGAACCAAATCAAAGATCTATATAATAATATAGATACCAAATTAAAGTTTTAACCAAAAATAAAAGGACCCTACATTTTGTCTTGTCCAGTAAGTGATTGACAAACGGCCACACAGTCCACAATTCCAGCGCTCCGACTGTCAATCCCCCTCCTCCCCCAGTCCATGCCGCCACGTGATCTCAATCTCAAAATTCAATGAAATATCCACATCGCATGCATTAGCCTCCTCGGCAAATAACAACCACAATCTACAGAAGCCGGTGCAGATTTTGCGTCTGAACGTGGCGCAATCAGTGCGGTGCCGACTTGCACGTTGTTTTTTCTCTGGGAAATGGGGAAAGGGTTTTTGTGATGTTTGTCCTGTTCCCACTGGGAGTGGGCTAAGTACTAAATTATTATTTTTTTTTTTTTTAACATAGGGAATTATGGAGGGAAAAGCGAACTTTTTGAAATAGTAAGTGAAAATCAAATTTTTAATTAATTAAATTTAAATATTAAAATTAAGGATGAATTAATGGACATGAAGATCCAATTTAAATAAGTATTAAATTATGTTGGATTTTTCTTGATTTTGTTATAGTTTGAGCTTTTTTAGCAACAACTTTTTTATACATAATAATTTGATTACTTAATATAATAGAAATTAAAATTTTTATTTTATTGTATATTTAGACAAAAGAGAATAAAAGAGAGAGAAACTCATGAACGGGTGGATAAGTTGGCAGAAAACTCTTCTAGTTTAATCAGAGATCTTGGTTTCAAGTTTTAAGAATGCAATTTCATTAAAACTCATGAGGGGTCTTGCTCAGCTCAAATTTGAATTAATCGGT